AAAATAGGAAAGAAAAAAATATCACATTCTTCAGATGTGGCTTAGTAAAATACCTTGTCATCTTTCCTTAATCTGCAATCTGAGACAAGAAGAACAAAAAAAATTAAACATATAATCCAAAAATAATGATTCAGCTTCAGAATTGAGTCTGAAAGGCATATAGACATTAGCATAAAAACACACCCAACTTCTGCTCATCGTTACCAGTTGGCAACAGGGGACAACTGAGAATATGGTGAAATGAATAGGTCACCTGCATGTGAGGCAGAGGGGTCTGTGTCTACAAGGAGAGGATATGATGGGACTACCTGCAATCTACAATCTAGGAAACTCAGGATGTGGATGTAGCTTGGAGGTAGAGCACATGCTTTGCATGCACAAAGCCCTGGGTTTGATCCCCAGCAACTCCCCGAAAAAGTCAAAATCTGAGGGTCTTATAGTCTACTCATCCCTGATGAAAGCTGGCCTTGTCGTCTAAGTAGTCAAGTCCTTGCTTTTCCTATGGTCAAGTGATGGAACACGAAATGATGTTTCCAAGTGACAAATACTGACAGCTGAAACAATTTGAACTCTGACTGCTGCTACCATGAACTTCAGAAATAGGACAAAATCCCACCTGGTTGGAAAATGAATTTGTCCTTATTTTAGGCTGTTCATCACCTTTGTTGTTTGAAATGGTTGATCATAAGCTCCAGGGTTCTGTGATGTGGCCCCGTCTCCCTCTCCACCCTGCTGCCCTGTGCTTACTCGTCAGCAACAACCATCTGAATTTTGTGGAGTTGCCAATGAATTTCTCTTGGCTCCTTATCTGTACATGTTTCCCTTCAGTGGTGGAGAGCAGAAGATTTGCATAAACACCACTACTCTGAAAATATACTAGGATCCCATTCCCTTTGCCCATCCCTCATCTTTTTTTCTACAGAATATAGAAAATGTCTGTTAATTATATTACATAATGTTATAGCCTCAAGTTGAATTATTATTTTTTTTTAAATCTTGCATTTGTCCCCTCAAACTGTTAGTGTTTGTGAAAGCATCTTTGCATGCCCCAAGTTTCAAAACTGTCAGTTTTTTTTAAGGTGCACCCAGTTTTACCAAACAATGTAACATGGTGCAAATTGTAGGAATAGTCCTCAATTTTATGTTCAATTAATCCCATGGGTTTTCTCCAATCTGCCCTTAGGATTTATTTCTAAATAACATTTTAATATTTCTGCTAATTTTGAACTCAAACTCAGTCAGATGCAAAACAGTACTTAATCATGAGCTTTCGCCCCCAGCACACGAGGACACTCATTCCTGGAGAAGATGTGGCAAGCTGTTGGCCTCATTCATCCTCCACCACCTCTTCAGAGGTCATATCTCAGTTCGTTGATTTGAACTTGGGATTCTGGCAATCCTTATCTGACCATTAATTCAAATCAACAGCTTCAAGATAAAATCTGGTTCCCTGATAAACTTCATTCACTTTTCAGATGAGAAGCTATAGCTGTTTTTCTTATCAAAAAATGTTCCCAGCTATGGTATAAAATATTGCAAATGATCGTTGAGTTATTAACAGGGAGAAGATATGTATAGACCTTTGTTCAGCCAAAGCTGGTGGCTGAGTTTTGCTTGACTGTATATGCTAGAAACATCTAGAAAGTATCTGTAACATCACACCTCAGAGGAGATGAAGCGAATGTTCAGCAATATGATAACATGAATTAGATCAAGAAGCTGGCGTTACCTAATGACACGGTTGAAACGTCTGTGCAGTATCTTGGACTGTATATTCTTTTCTTAAGTGAAAATGTGTGATTGTCTAACATGGTACTAAATTATACCAGAATTTTTAATGCCAGTAGAAAATTCTCCGGGAAGTGGGAAACACTTATTTCTGAACCCATTTAAAAAAAAAAAAAAAAGAAAAGAAAAGAATAATGTGTGAACAAGTAATTTTCCTTGCAGCACACCCAGCTAAGCAGCAATTTCTGGCCCATTTTGAATTTCTAGCAAGAATCTAATGTGGTTATTTAGTCACTCATGTCGCCAGTCACCCCGACCCTATGGTGCATAAATGCTGGGTTGGTGTCTCATTGCAACATTGGCTTCTCGGCCTGAAAAGCCAATGAATTAAACACAGTGCAATGGCCAGCGAATGCCACTCACCGTTAGGTAGTGCATGGATTCAGTGGGAGGAGAGGAAACCCACAAATCTGAGAAGGCGGTGTTGTTGGCCTAGAGAGCCCATGGGAACACTGGCTCTGGAGCCCCGGCCTGGCAATCTGCTGTGCTCTCCTGGGGGTTCTCAACCATGAATATCATGCGTGGTGGAATCACATGGCAGAATGGAACATATTCTGCTACAGAATCTGCTTCTGGGGAGGAACTGGAAGGAGGCCGAGATAAGGCCTGATGACTGGGGGTTGGGCAGAACTCCCTGTCCTCTGCTTGCAACTCCTTTCTTGTCCACAGAAGGTGGCCCTTGGGGATGCACGTGGTTGAGAAGGATGCGAACATGGAACTGGATAAGGAAAGCATGCCGGCAAGCTTCCGTGCCTCAGCGTTGATCATGAATCACGGTGCACCTCATGCTTTGTTGTGATGCTGCTGTTGACATGTGAGGGCATAAAAATAAACCCAGACTGACCAGTAGAAACGGAAAGTACCCCTGCATCATGCAAAGAACCACCAACAGCAGTTTCCACTTCCATATAAGATATATCTGAAGGATCGAGAGTAGAGCAGTTACCACGAACATCCTTCAGTGGATATTTAACATTCCTGTAGGTGCCCCTGGTTGAATGATCCAACCTCCAATTCCAATTATTTTCTTTTTGCTCTTGAACAGATTTCTGAAAAGTGAAATACTTCAATTTCCAGCTCCCTGCAGTTCTAGCCAACCAGATGTAAGTAAAATTCTGCTAGGACTGAGCCTGCTCTCCTCCTTCCCCCTCTCTGTTACAAATGATAATGCAGTGGCTGGAGTTACAGAAACTATTGTGTGATCATGAGGCAACTAGCATGAGGAAAAGGCCAAGAAGATTGCAGGGACATCATCTCAATATCATCCAGATCCTGGACTCTCTATTTCTGGTTATGTAATCCAATTAAATCTCTGTTTAAACTATAGGGGGTTGTAACAATACGTTCCTAACTGATTGATAGAGAATTCTGCATGGTAAAATCATGAGCAATTTTAGACCTTTTGGCTGCCAGAATAACTTGTTGCACTGCTGCAGTTGTTCACTGTCACCTAAATATGCTACATCTGCACCCCTGTGCATAGGCAGGGAACAGGAGCCCTTGATCCTGGAGGAGCCCTGTAGTCTCTATGGTTTTCCTGAAGTGATTCTTGGGCCTTCTGTCCTTAGCCATCCAGCTGCCAGTACTGTCAGCTCTGTGAGCCCAAATCCTCAGACTCCAACTCCAAGGGCGACTTTATGGGCCCAAGCTTTCTGCCATCGGGGGGTTGGGGGCAAAGAGAGGAGGTGACTGGAAAGGCTGGGACGGGGAAGGGAGGGCCTTGTCCTGCACCCAGGGGGTTTCTCCAGGACTGGGAGGAGGTATTTGTGCCAGAGGATATGAGAATAAAGGGCCTGGAGAGGCTGGACAGGAGGGTGGCTAGGAGAGGGGCACCAAGCGGGGGGTGCTTTCAGGTCAGCCTGGGACCCTGCACTGAGCCTCCGCCAGCTCTCACAACCCCAGCCGAGCTGGCCACCCACCACTTCACAGCAGCACCTTCGTGTCGATGTCTGGTCCCACCAGTCTGCACTTCTGCCTCCTGTTCTTGTCAGAGGATGGACCTTGTCACTTTTGCCCAGCACCTGGAGTCTGGGAGACTGACCACCTGCCCAAGCTTGACTGGCATCTCCACAAGCCTAAGCCCTGCTCGAACAACAGACTCAGGAGGTTCTGGTCCGGACACAGAGCTCCTCAGTGCCATGACTCTGGTGTGACCAGTGCAAGGAGCGCCATCTCTGATGAGATGAAGTGAGTGCGTGGGAGAGATGCTACCCAGATGTGGTCCACCGTGGCGGGAAGAAAGCACCCACCCCCAAAGATGCCGTGGGCCTTGGAGCTCACGTTTACCACAGGAGATGGGAGTAAGCTGAGGGGGGCCGTTACCCTGATCGCCCAGGTAGGCGCCTGGAGTGGCAGCCTCGTAGGTGAAAGGAGGAGGCAGGTTCTCAGAATCAGAGGGAGAGATGGAAAGACGATACGCTGCTGGCTTAGAAGGTGAAACGGGCCACAAGCCAAGGAAGGCAGGTGGCCTCTAGATGCTGGGAAGGGCCAGAGCCCCCAAGGAACCCAGCTCTGCCTACACCCGGATTTTAGCCCAAGAGACCCACTTTGGACTCTGACCTCCCCAACAGTAAGACGACAGATCAAATCATTTGAAACCACTGAGTTTATGGCAATTCATTAGAGTTAGGAACTAACAGTGGACAGATCCAAACCATGGACCTACTTGGTGTTTTGAAAATCTAGAAATGCCAGCTGAGTCCAGACTCCCAGCTCCTCCTGGGGCGGGGGGAGGGGAAGGGGGACCAGTAACAATGTAAGATCTGGCAATAATTTTCAGTACTTGTCTTTATTTATTTAATTAATCAATTTATTTTGGCAGAGCTGGGGACTGATCCGGGGCCTGGATCATGCTAGACAAGCGCTCTGCCCCTGAGCTACACCCACAGCTCTCTCAGCACTGTTGGGCCCTAGCAGAGGCGGCCTTGTTCAGAGGACACAGGGACCCTGCTGTATTCCATGTCACCTTTATTTCCTTGCGCTCCTGGCCTGGCTGACCCATGACACAGCTAAGGATCAGAAGTTTGTCTCCATTCTGCATGGAAGAATGGCCTTTAACTTGCTCAAATTCAATCAGGAGGCAAGAATGGGAAGATATAAGGAGTGGGCTGTACACCCGGGAACTTCCTTCCAACTCCCTCTTGGTCTTTATCACCGGTGGAACCCACCTGCCTGCCTGCAAGCACACAGGCTCTTAGAACCGGGGAGCTTACCTGCAAACGGTGGTCCCAGCAAGGCGGAGATGCCGTTAGCACAGATGATGATGCCGTAGGCGTTGGCCAGGTGTTCGATGCCGACCAGGTCCTCGGTCACCACGGGCATTAGGGAGAAATAACCGCTGGAAAACCCGATCAGGGTGCAGATGACAGCCAGGCCGGCGTACGTGTGCATGGATGGCAGAATGAAAATGCTAAGGACGAGGGTGAAGTTGGCCAGTAGGAAGACGTTCCAGACGCTGATGCAGGGCAGGTCGGCCACGGCGCCCAGGACCACTTTCCCAAAGATGTGGACTATTGCTATGATCGAAGTCAGAGGGAAAACATCGTTTTGCTCCGATAAATTATACAAATTGACTATTTCTGGCAGGTGGATAAAAGGAATGACAAAGCTGCTGTAGGCAAACAAAGCCCAGAAAACAAAGGCGACAAACATTCGATTAGTGAAGAGTGACGATGCCCCAAAATAGCCTGAGTACCAGTCCCCGAAGCCCTTCCGGACTCTCATGGTGAGCTGGCTCATGGTCTTCAGAACCCGGAGAGCACACATGTTCTTCCTGTGCCGGGCCTGACCTTGGCACTCCTGGGCTTGAAGGTCATTGAGGGTCTCTTCGTTCCCGGGCCCACCATCCTTTTCTTCCATTCTGCCCAGCGGCCCAGCTGACTTCACGGACTCCACGGAGCAAGCTGGCAGGACCCGGGGATCTTTCCCTTCTGGCAGGTTTGTGTCTTTCCCAGGAGAGAGGGGCCTCATGAGCGCACCACAAACACACAGGTTTAAGGACACGGCACCCTGGATGAACATGGCGTTCCGCCATCCATACTCAGCACACAGGTACTTCAGCAACACGGTCATCAGGAATGTACCAAATCCTGTCCCTGTGGTGCTGAGGCCCTGGGCCAGGGCTCGTCTCTTCTGAAAATACCTTCCCACCATGACCACTGCTGGGAGGTAGGCCATCCCACTGCCAAGGCCTGTGGGGCGAGAGGGAGGAAAAGCACACTGTGTGGCCTAAGTGACCAGAGCCAGAAGGTCAGCATTTAAAGATCCCCGCTAGCTGGACATGGCAGTGCACACCTGCAATCCCCGCTCTGCAGGCTGAGGCAGGGGGATCACATGTTTGAGGCCAGCCTCGCAACTCAGTGAGACTGTGTCAAAATAAAAATAAAAAGGGCTGTACCCTTGGGTTCAATCCCTATAGTTCAAAACAAAACAAAAACGGCTACTTCCTTGCTCCATAAATAGGTGTTCAGCAGGTAAATGAATAATGAATGAATGAATGTACAACAATGTTACTTGAGATCAATAAGCAATTAACAATAATGAATAAAATCCCATTTTAAACACAGTCTGACCATTGAAATCTCTAAATGATGAATAAATCTCAAGTCCCAGCTTTGAAGATGAAGTCAGAGACCATCTAACCAAACACCACCACATCAAGTTCATGAGGGGTCCTGTGAGTCCTCCCAGAGTCCTCCCAGAGACCCCCAGTGTGGCTCTCTTTCCTCTCAGTAAAAGGAGCATTTAATCTCCTCATCTATAACCAAAAAATTCTCAGTGCTGGCTGGCTCTTTTCATTGGGCTATTATGGGAAAGAATTTCTAAACCACCCACGGAAAACACCTTAAGTTTTGCTGTTGTTTTTGTACCAGGGATTGATCCCAGGGGCCTTGACCATGGAGTCACATCCCCCCACCCTTTATTTTGAGACAGGGTCTTGCTAAGTTGCGTAGGGCCTCACTAAGTTGCTGAAGCTGGCCTTGAACTTGTCATCCTCCTGCCTCAGCCTCCCAAGCCACTGGGATTACAGGTGTGCACCACCAAGAATTGTTATCAGGTCTTTCACATCAGTGGTTTTCAAACTATGCTTCCAAGGATACAAAAGTGGCGTGTGTGTGTGAAGTAAATTTTAGAGAAATAACTTGGCCATTCATAGAGACAACAGTTTTGTGTTCACCCCCTGCCTCACAAGGCATGTACTTAACTTATAATAGAATACTTATTTTACACTTAAATATACATACTTAGATATTAGCTAACATCTGCGGAGCCCTTTCTTATATGTCAAGCATTGTGCTAAGGGCTTCATACAAATCATCTCATCCACTCCTTTCCATAACCATGTGATCCAAGAGCTCTTCATCTCCCTACTCTGCAAATAAGGAAACTGAAGTATATAAGTAGGTTAAGTAACTGGATCAAAGTCACACAGGGAAGTGGTTAATAAAAGGTCAGCACTCCAAACTGGAACTTTTCTCTCTCATGCAATGTGTCATTTATTAGGAGCATTTTTGCTCTGGACTCAAAATGTCAGGCTGGACCAGGTTCACAGCTGTGCAAGGAAGTGGCTACTCATCCTGAGAATCCCACTACCTGTGGATAAAGGAAATTACGGCTGGGAATACATTTTGCAGAGCGGATATGCAAACCGCACTGCCCAGCAGTCAATTTCGCCTTCTCCCTGGGTATGGACAGCCTCACAGTGCTCTAGCTTGCTTCTTCAAACCCTACATACATGTGGATTTTACGCTATTTCATTAATTTGAACAGGGCTGAGAGAGTAAAGGATTATTCTGATTCATGCTTGATTCTACAGTTATTAGATGAGAGAACGTTATTAATTTCCTTAACATTTGTCTATTTATCTCAGCCTGCATTGCTACCCTCCGTTTCCTGTTTCTCACATTAGAAAGGGCTAACATTTAGAACCTCCTATTGGAAACTTGATCTGATTCTATTAGGGAGGCCCAGGACAGTTGTTAGGTTGGTTTCCCACACTTATGGTGCATTTATCATCCTACATTAAAAATGGTTTCCTGGAGTGTAGGGTGGGGTGCGGTGGAGAAGACAGAACAGAATGTTTTAATGGTTCTCTTTTCTCCACAATTAAATCCATTTCCAAAATGCCTAGTAAAACATTTAAATCAAATTAAAAACAAAAACAAAAAATGCTTACCAGCTGCCACTCCGAAGGTAAAAAAAAGACAATGCACGTTTGTAGCATAGGCGCTCAGCACCCACCCCAGGGAGTTCAGCAGCCCACCGATGATGGCAGTCCGGCGGCACCCACAGGTGTTAATGAACAAGCCGATGAAAGGTCCTGTCACAGAGGGTTGGGAAGGGAATTGACTAGGGGCACTTCATATTCATGCTTTCTTAGTGCATCCTCATGTGAAGACAAAGAATGAAATACTACTAGAGTTGATAAATAAGACAGCATCAAAACATAGCTTTACATACAAAACCCTCCTAGCACGCAGAGACGGATAGAACTATATCTCATCCAAGTGCACAAAGCTCTAGGTTTTCAAGGTGGACAGACCTGAAATAAAGAGACGAATAAACTGCAACAGACATCCTTAATTAGAGGAATAGGGGTGATATCCAGCCTGTAGATACATTTTGATCCCAAATGAGGTTTGAAATACTTGAAATTGGTTGCTAACATCTAAAATTATGATAATTTGTAAAAAAAAAAAAAAAAAAAAAACAACCCAGTGGCAACACATAGTACCTTCCCGCACAGCTGAGATCAACTGGAGCATGCGCCCTGTCCCCCGACCCCCGCTGGGTCACACACCGTCCAGGTGGCAGAAGTCTCCACTCTTTCTTCTGGTCTCACACTTGCTGACCTCCCGCTCCCGCCTCATTTATGCCATTTGTTTGGCCTCTTTATACAACTGTGGTTTTGATTCCAGATCTAAAGGGAGCCCAGGAAAGGGGTTCTCAGAACTCCTGTGCTTCACACAGGGAACCTATGGCCTGAGACCCTGAGGACACCCCAATGCAGACCATGCTGAAAAGGACTCACTGTCACCCTTCAGCCCACTAAGTCCCTCCTGACCCTGCCAGCCCAGGTGGACCCACCCGGCCACGCATTTACAACACTGTGTGGAGATTCAGGAATCCACCTGAAGGCACAGCACAGCTTTATATGAATCACCTCCTGATGACCTCCTTTACTCTAATGCTCTAATTCTTAACTTTTTATTTTCTCCATAATTTTGTGGTAATTTCTAATGTCTCTGAAGTCAAATGCTTGACTTGTGTTCTATGACTTCTTGCTCAAATAGTAATCCATACTCAATGTTCAGAGAGATGGTTCATTTATGATTGTTATTACTTATTCTATATGGTTATGAAACTCTATATTCAGATATTTAGAATATTAAAAACTTTTTAGGCTCTAAGGAGCTTCCTCTTCTAGCCCAAACTAAAGTTTAAAAAACTTTTTTTTTGTGTTTTTTTGGAACTTAGGATTGAATCCAGGATGCTCTACCACTGAGTGACATCCCCAGCTATTTTTATTTTGAGACAGGTTCTTGCTTTCTTGCTAAGTTGCTGAGGCTGGGCTTGAACTTGTGATCCTCCTGCCTCAGTCTCTAGAGATGCTGGAATTACAGGGTTCTGCCACTGCACACAGTGACACTAAAGTAAAAATTTCTTTTAAAGTTCTAACTATCTTCATGCACATATTTGGGTCCACAGTCTGCTAATGAGTTTATTTTGTCTAGTTTTTTTTTTTTTTTTTTGATTGGTAACCCTGGGATCAAACCCAGGGTCATGCATGCTAAGCAAACATTCTAAACTGAGCTACACCCCTAGTCCTGTCTAGTGTTTATGAAAGTGCCTAATCCTGAACATTATGAAGATGAAGATAAAGACTTGTTAATTTAATTGACCCTGTTGCATTACAGAAAATAGTACAGTAGATTATACCTCTCAGAATGATTTAATATATTTTATATAAATATAATGTATGCTATATATTATAAAATATGCAGATCATCTAAAAATGTAAAATAAGCTCATTTGTACAAACATCTGATGGAATTGTTGGGGTAAGTGAAATCAGACACCATAAGTTGAAGAGGTTACTTTGACTTCTTTTTCTTTATTTCTAAACCACTGGTTACTTGACCATGCCAAACTTGGATGTGTGGGTAAAAAAGAAAAAAATGCATGACTCATGGGTTAGCTGTCAACAGCCCTTTTAAGATACGAAAGGTCAACAGGTCACAGTGCAGCAGCACAGTATTTTCCACATTACAGAACGGGGCCCAGAAGCAAGTGTTTCCCAGATACTGTATGTTTATGAAACAGTGCGCTAAGGAGACATTTGTGGGGGCGATGAAAAAGGAGGAAATCCCCCAAGTCAGTGCAAATATTCACATCTGGAGGAATTTATAAGCCAGACAGAAAGCATTAACTCCTTTTCTGATAAAAATATTAAGTTAATAACAGTTGATAACATTAAGTTGATAACAGTCTGGCTTTCTAGTTGAGTAGAGTCAGAGCAGAAATGCTGTCAATTCTCCATAGTTATGAAATGTAGACTTAAAAAAAACAAAAAAGGGTGTACATCCAGGTGGTGTACGTCTGTAATCCAGCTACTCGAGAGGCAGAGGCAGGAAGACTGTAAATTCAAGGCCAACCTGGGAAACTTAGCAAGACCCTGTCTCAAAATAAGAAATAGAAAGTCTGGGGTTGTAGCGCAATGGTAAAGAGCCCCTGTGTCCAATCCCCAGTACCCAAAACAACAAGAGCAATGACAACTTGAAAATAAAAATAAATGAATTTTAAAAATTAAAAAATGGAATTTGAACCTAAACCCAAGCTTTCTGACTCAGTTTCATTATTTAACTATTGCTCATGGTCCAGTCAGCATCACCAAGATACAATTGCCATTGCCTCAAAATAAAAAAGAAAAAAACTCCCTGCACATTCTGGGGAGAGAGGGAGCAATAACGTTGGGACACAGCCCTTGGAAGAGTAATTTGGTGTTTGGAATGGGATTATGCACATGATCAGACTTCTTCCTCTTCAGGAGTCCGAGTCCTGGACCACTTCCTGCATCACATAGTGCCATCGCTGCAGGAAATCCCTCAGGAAGTCAGCCTGTTTTGCCTGCTGCAGCATCTGATGGCTGGAGAAAGTTCAAGGCCAGTGGAGTCTTGCCAGGGGGAAGGGAGCAGGGTAAAGAGTCAGGAGCCTCTAAACCAATGGCCATCTGCATTGGCTCAACACTGGACTCACTTGTCATGCCCAGAGCCCATCCCACGGGATTCTGGTTTAATGGTCCAGGTGCAGCCTGAGCATCGGGATTTTTAAAACCTCCCCAGGTCGTTCTGTTATGCAGCCAAGATTGACAACTGCAGCTCTAAATCTGCTTAGCAAGTAAATTGTCTCTGAAGCCTGAGGATTCCCCACCGAGAATTATTCAAAAAGCTGTCATCACAAAGCTGTTCTAGTTAAGAAGGAGGTGATTACATTTCTTTAAAAGTTGGGACCTCCTGCAGGACACTGGCAAATCCATGCTTGTAAGAAGGAAATGACACATATTTGTTGGATTTGCCATATGCAAATTGTTGCAACAAAATTCATGATTATTTTTTTCTTTTTTAATTTAAAAGAGGTGCCAGGCGCAGTAAGGCACATGTGTACGCCCAGCAACTCAGGAGGCTGAGGCAGGAGGGTGCAAGTTTGAGGCCAGCCTACATAAATGAATGAGACCTATCTTAAAACAAAATTTCATAAAGGGCTGAGGATGTATCTCAATGGTTGAGGGCCCCTGGGTCACTTCCCAGTAGAAAGAAAGAAACCAAAATGTGTTCGCAATGATTTGAAAATGAAAACAATTTACACTTATTCATTTCCAATATCTTTTCAGTTCTCACTTGATGTAGCAGCACTGGAGCCCAACAGACTAGGTTTGAAGCTTGAGAGAGTTACTCAATGTTTAAGCATTACATGATCTTCCCTTCTCAGAGAAGAAGGTTGGCCTCCAGTGTTATAGAATGAATGAGATGGTCTATATAAAATGTACTTGGTATGCAGTAGGTACTAAATAAAGGGGAACTGTTATGTAGTTTCTGATTTGCAAAAGTTCCCTCACATTGTTCAACATATCAGCAGCCACCGTGTGTTAGGAAGCTTAGGATAATAGACAGCAATTTAACAGACAGGGTCTGACTTCAAACTTGTAGTCTTTCTGTCTCAGCCACCCAGGTTGCTGGAATTACAGAGGGGCACCACCATGCCAGTCTTGCCTCGATTTTTCATATGACAAACAGTCCTAGTTTTAACAAGAATGCAGAATTAAAGGTATCAGTCAATAATGTTACATATAAAAATGATTTATAAATATTAAATTAACTAATTTATTTTTTGCAGTCCCAAAAATTGAACCCAGTGGTACTCATCACTGAACTACATCCCCAGCCCTTTCTATTTTTTTTTTTTTTTTTTTTTGAGACAGGGTCTTGCTAAGTTGTTGAGGCTGGCCTCCAATATGGAATCTTCCTGATTCAGCCTCCTGAGTTATTTGAATTACAGGCATTATTTCACTTTTAGGTGAAACAACTGAAAATGTTCAGGTACAATGATAATTACCTCAAAGGATTAATAAAATTAAATACAATTAAATACAATTAAATGAGCTAATGTAAGGAATAGCACTTGGTGTGTATGATGGATGCTCATTAAATATTAGTTGATGGTAAAAGTCGTTCGATTTCCAAACTAAAACACAATAGCCATAATAGCATTGTATTTATAATAACTTCCTGGGTTAGTAGATCCAACTGTGTAAGATTTGTAGATTGCTGTGTGGTTGCATTTAATAGAAAATACAAGAATATTTTATTATTTCTTCCTGTTAGGTATACAGGTAACCTTTCTCAAAACAGCTTAACAGATTATTTAAATAACAGATAATCAATGCTATTTCAAATAAAAAAATATTAGGACTTTAAAATAAGACTGCTACTTTAATTTAAAATATTACTATTATTATTATGCTAAGAATTGAACGTAGGGCTTTGTACATGCTAGACAAGTGATCTACTACTAAGCTACAATGTTCATCCCCTTCTCTTTTAAAAAAGAATTCATAAATGTTAAACAAGATATTTGTAATGACAGATAAGGAATTAAAACAATTATGAAAATAGTTTGAGACAAAAGAAGTTTCTTTTTTTTTGTGATCTCTGTTTAAAGTGCTCTAAATTGTGCAACACTGAGCAGGCATGTCACACAAAAAGGCGTAAATACTGTACACTTCCACTTACCTGACTTGCCTGGAAGAGTCGAATTCCTAGAGAGAATGGTGGTGGCCAGGGGTGGGGAGGTGGGGATGGAGAGCTGGTGTTGACTGAGGACACCAGAGTTTCAATTTGGGAAAGTGCAAATGTCCTGCAGATGCAGGGAGGGTTGTTCAATATAAATGTACTCAGTGGCCCTCCACTGCATACCTAAAAATGGTTAAAATGGTAAATTTTAAGTTCTTTATATTTCACCGCAATGAAACCAGCAACATCACTAATCTTTAATATCTAAAAAGACAAGGGACTACTTAAAATGGGGAACTGAGGTTTCCTCCCTCAGTGTTAGGGCAGGCTGCTCTGGGAACCTACCGACAATCAAGGTGATGCCCATGCTCAGGGAGCTGACCCATGCAGTCAGGCCGCGGCTCTGGTGGAACTCCTCCAGCCACTCCACGTTGAGGACTCCCAGGGCCATCTGGGAACCCATGATGAGGATGTGCACAAAAAAGGAAGAAAGGACCATCATCCAAGCCCATCCGCCATCAATGTTTGGGTGGGGCTTAACTGTCTTCTTATCCTTGGGGTCCTCTTCAAAGTCATAGCCAATATCTTCATGACTTGTGTACATTTTCCAAGATTTTCTGTAATACAGAGAACAAGTAACTTAATGGAACATCAAAACAAAACAAAAAAATTATCCTCATATTCTTTGGATAGTGGCTCCAGTGTCACATCAGATTGATCTTGTCACTGTGTAGATTTGGGAACACGTCTTACCTCTTCACAGGATTAAATGCTTTTATGAAACCTGTTTCACCTTTGCAGTCATCCCATGCGTAAGTATTAAAATCTTAGAAATAGAGAAGTGAAGTGACTTTCCCTGGGTGACAAAGGACGTGAGGGGAGAGTAGGAAGAAAGGAAGAAGAAAAAATGGAAGAGAGAGAGAAAGAGGATGATGACGATGACGACGAAGAAAACTAATCCCAGAGGCGGTGGGATGGGTTAGTCTTGATCAGCCAGAGCCTGGAGAAGGGTGAGGCGCGGAGCTAAGACGGTCAGTGGTGGGATGGAAAGTTGAACTGATGTTTAATTTCTTTGGTGAACTAGGGAGTTAGATACTTGGCTGAGAATGAGGGGGATGGAGGTTGTGTGGGGGCCTCTGTGTTCAAGTTAATACAACAGACTGTTGCCTACAACAAGTGGAAATGGTTGTTGGTCAATTCTAAAGACCAAAATGAGCCCTGTGGGGCGCTGCTCCAAGCTATGGGTCATGGGACACCAAGGACAGAGCCAGGGAGCTTGCTACCCCAGGGTCCAGAACACTGTGGAGCATGATGTGTATAGAATTTCTCTTTCTCTCTCTCTCTCTCTCTCTGTACCAGGGATTGAACCTAGGGGTGCTTAACCACTGAGCCACATCCCCAGCCCTTTTCATTTTTTGTTTTGAGACAGGGTCTTGCTAAGTCACTCGGGGCCTCACAAAGTTGCCAAGGCTGGTTTCGAACCTGTAATCCTCCTGCTTCAGCCTCCTGAGCTGCTGAGATTACAGGTGTGCCTGGCTGAATTTAAAGCAATAATAAATGGCTACCGGTTGGTCTGCTTTTTTAAATTATTGCTACGTGATAGCAACTCTAGACAATGACACTGACAAACACTCTCCCCTGAACATTTGTTTGGCTAAGTTCCAAACAATTCTGTTGAGTTCAGTAGGTATGATTCAAACGAGGCTGTTTTTATTACTCATTCATTTGTAATGAAAGTTATTTCAAAACCCCTGGTTTTACACCTGAGCTAGATACACGTATCCCCAGCTACACATTCATCTAGAGAGTAAGCTCTTGAGAGTTCAGAATTGTTGGAGCCCCCTGGCCCAGTCCGTGTCTGCAGCCCCAGTGGCACTACCCCTTGCTGCCCCTCACAGAACACTGAAGACCAACAGTACCCTCAGCAGAACATTCCAGATGAGCGCTGCGGGCACATTTGTTATAGAGACAAAGAACCAGGACTTGAGTGACTTTGCTTCTGTCACTCTATGTTCCCTCTCGAGATAACATTTTTGTTTAAAGCAGGGTGCAAGTTTTTGAGGTGGAAAAAACAAAACTTGGGTTTGACAAGTGACATTTTTAGTTGGTACTATACATGAAATCTCTTACTCAACTTGAATACCATGTTTAAAACTGAAACCTACTCTTACTTATTATACAGCAGAAGAACATATAAAAAATAGTGATGACTGTGACACAATTACTGAGAATCATTTTGTTGTCACCTGGGAGGGTGATACACAAAGAGATCCATTCTGGGGTCAAATACACGAGGAAGCCCGTTGTGGGGATTTTCTCAGCAGCACTCTGCTGGGGAAAGGTGGGAGAGTGTGAAAGAAATGCAGAAGTTGTCAAAAATCAAAATGGAGTCACTTATGTCATCTCTACCAAAACAAGTGACTCAAAGCCAGGAGGCTGGGAAGGAAGCATTCTTACATGCAGTTGCCTGTTAGTATCTATCAGTAAAGACTCTGCTACACAAACTCGCGGAGGCCATTGCAACCGTATACCAAAAGTGCTTCCACAAGGACGCCTGCTCAGCAACGGTCTGCTCAACCTCGGACTGATGTCAATCATGTTATTAATCATTCCCACCAAGGCCTATTGTTTCAAAATATCTGATGTAATCCTCCTTATTTCTGTCTTTAAAAACTTCCTCTTGCATGACCTCCTTAAATAATCTATAGTTTACTATGGCATGCGTATTCTGGCGCAATACTTGGCTACTTCCAAATAAAATATCAGTTTTCTTTGGAGAATCACCCCTTTGATGGTTGCTTTTATTTATATTGACAAAAGAAAAGCAGATTGTGGCAAATGCACAGCGCTGATAGCCTGTGTCTGTAGAATTATTATTATTATTATTATTATCAACCTTTTCACTGAGTTACATCTCCAGCTTTTTTCATTTTTAAAATTTTGAGACCTGGTGTCTCTAAGTTGTCTAGGCTGGCCTTGAATACTCCTGCCTTAACCTCCCAAGTTGATGGGATTACAGGTTATCATCTCAACAACTTAACTTACACGCCCTGATCCTTTAGAGGAAAAGTTGTGGATCCCGGCAAGATAGCATTAGTTCTGACTAAGGGACAACTGGGTGGGTCTGCTGGGGGAAATGGCTTCTGGGGAATCAAGGACACCAGGGAAGGGCAGAGTGGCTCTGTCCTGGGCTCATCCTCATTCCTTTCTCTCCCTCCTTGTTCTCATTATGATTTTTATCTTTTAAATTAAGCTCCACTGCTGGCCAGTGGTTACTGCCGGCCTGGGCAGCTCTTCCTCTCAAGCTCTTCTTACACTGCATCCCCCCTCCCCCCATCAAGTTATCCTTGGGATCAAGCCCAAGCTCCCCCTTCCTTGGTGACCCCAGTTGCTCCCGTGCTCAGGCTGCTGCCAGACTCTTCTCAGGTCACCTGCTGCCCCTGCCTGACCTCTGCTCTTTGCCCCCGACCAACTCTCCTTCCCTCTCCTGGGAACAGGCTCCTCTCCTAGCCCTCATGGTCCTCTTCTGCTCTTCCTCCAAGACTCAATTGAATTAAACTTGAGGTTAAAAAAAAAAATCTGAAAACACTTATAACACCCAACATCAGAGAGCTGTACTTGTTAAACAATGATGGTAGGTGGATACAGTGCCCGTCTGCCACCCACGTCTGTTTGAAGACATGGAGAGAAGATGACAGTCAAGTGTGAACTGTACACCAGGGGTACCAGGTGGGAACATGCAATCATCCCTTTGTGATTGCTGTTGCCCAAAACGTGTGTCTGTAAGAGAAAAAGAGTGGAATAAACCAAAGAAAGGGGTTAATAGAAATTATTCTTTGAATGATAGTCTTTTAAGGAATTTCTCCTTTCTTTTTAATTTATCTTATTGGTTAAAAAATTCTAAATAAACATATATTATACGGAAATAAAGTTTCCTTCCTCTTTTAAATATCTAAATCAATCTCTTCCATCCAGGCAAATTAGTGGTTAAGTTATAAAAAGAGAAATAAAAATAGTTCAAGAGTCATTTGTTGTGGGAAACTGTGCAGTCTATCTTGGGGTCCAAGTTCACATGAGTGCAACAATGTGTAAATGTGCGCACCTGCCTGTGTGTGCTTATGTCTACCTTCCACCCCCCCTCCCAATGTCAGAGCCTGCATGGGGCTAGAAAGGAAGGGGCAGCCCTGGCTCCTCAGACCCACACAGGGAAGAGACGCACTGTCGAGGGCCCAGGGGATGAGCCTAGAAAGGATCAAAGGAGCCAGAAAGAGAACTACACAGCTTGACGGTGTGAATGGCCCACAGGAGTAATAACATCATTTCACAATCAGTTGGGCAATGCTCAGCTGTTTAATAAGGTAACAGCAGAACTTGGTATTTTCCTAAAGTCTATTTACAACTGAAGTCTTTGAAGTAACAACAGCAACAACACTGTAATTTTTCAACCCACAGGAAAGTGCTTGAAATATTGAACACTTTTCTAAAGTAATGTTAAGAACTTTATATTCTTACTGAATTATTTATTCTATGGATTAAAAGATGCAGTTGCTGTCGTGAACTGCTCTCAGCATTTCCAGTTTATCTGTTCATAAATAAATGACATTGAACAGCACTTAATGGATAAATTTTATTCAAGAGGCACCACAGTGCATGAAGAGTACAGTATCGAATATGGGGGGGGCAAAAAAGAGTTTGTTTAGATCTTGGGGGGCCTCTACAGCTCTGCCAGACAAGACCGTCATTTGTTGACAAAATCATGGAATTTGCAGGGAAATGGATGGCATTAGAGCAGATTATGCTAAGTGAAGCTAGCCAATCCCTAAAAAACAAATGCCAAATGTCTTCTTTGATATAAGGAGAGCAACTAAAAACAGAGTAGGGAGGAAGAGCATGAGAAAAAGATTAACATTAAATAGGTGGGAGGGAAAGGGAGAGAGAAGGGAAATTGCATGGAAATGGAAGGAGACCCTCATTGTTATACAAAATTACATATAAGAGGAAGTGAGGGGAAAGGGGAAAAAAATCAACGGAGAGAAATGAATTACAGTAGATGGGGTAGAGAGAGAAGATGGGAGGGGAGTGGAGGGGGGATAGTAGAGGATAGGAAAGATAGCAGAATGCAGAGCTTTGTAATGTTTTGAACAACCAATTAAAAGAAAAAAAGACCGTCATTTGTACTTTACACATAAATCTCCCTAAAAATAATTACTCTCTGACTAATCACAGTTAATTTATTGTCCAACTAGTTTAGCTAAAACAAAAGACAACAGAAAAATAAGTATTTCTCTTTTGGTATGGTTTGAACTTCCCTCTAAAACTCATGTTGAAACTTAGTTGCCATTGTGAGGCTAGCTACAGGTGGACCTTTAAGAGGTGATTAGGCCAGGAGGGCTGTGTCTACAGGGAGGAATGAAGGCCATTATTACTAGAGTGGGAAGTTATTTTGGGAATGGGTTCCTGATAATAAGGATGCATTTGCCTGATTTTTCTCTCTGTTTGGGGCATGCTTCCACCGAGTTAAGATCTTGAGAAAGTCCTCACCAGCTCTGGGACCCTCCATCTTGGACTTCCCAGTTTCCAGAATTGTGAGCAGAATAAACTTCCATTGTTTATAATTTACCTAATCTGTGGTATTCTGTTATAGAAACAGAAAACGAAGACATCCCCCTTCTTCTAAATCTGCTTTTAGAATTTTAGCATTTATATAATTATAAAATACAAACTCATTGTTTCAGTATTACATGTCTATACCTAGAGAAAGAAGGCAGAACTAGGAGAGGGTATCTGGACTGCCCTGCTCCATGTCTTTCCCACTGTATGACCTTCAAGCTCCCTGACTGTTTCTACGTCCTGACACACAATACACGTGTGTGGCACACTGGAGTGAATGGAGGCAGTAGGGGTGGGGCTTCTGCTAAGTATCCACAGTAGAAAGTACATACATTCTAGGCAAATCTGCTGCCAGAAGCTCAGCATGTAACAGTAGGGCTTCATCTGGAACAGGCGAAGGAAGGAAATGGGAAGATTATGGAACCTACAGTCAACTTTCCTTACTCTCCAAATGGGAGTTTGTAAACTATGAAGAAGAAATATAAGGGGGAGAGGATAAAGAAACACATATAGCCTTTGAGATGGGGTCCGCTAAGTATACATGTAGTCATGGACAAAAATGAAGAGAATAACTCCCCTCCCCCAAAGTGGGGATGGAACCCAGGGTCATTCTACATCCCTAGTCCATTTTTACTTTTTTATTTTTAAGACAGCAGCTAGCAGATAGCCAAGTCTGCTGACCTGAAAATTGTGATCCTTCTGCCTCAGTCCTCCCAGTAGCTGGGATTACAGCCTGTGCAGCCATCACACTCACACATGGCTATACCAGTTCTTTCTGGAATGTACCAGAGTTCAAAACAAAATTAAAATTTCCACAGTCCTGTTAAGAGAGTAAGTTTTACAAGTAAGTTGTTCATTTTTAATTTGGCGATTGTTATTATGTGCATGTGGTGAGCTCATTATAAGAAAGAGCAAAGGAGTACACTTTAAGATAAAACTAAACTATCAATCTTCCCAAAAGATGGGCCCAACAAGCAGAGCTCAGTCTTCACCAGATGCACCCATAAGGTGGGTTCACCTTTACTTTGACCCTCCTTGGGTACTTCTGCCGTCTAAACAGGGAGTATAGAGGAATTTGGGGGCCTGTAGAGGGTGTACTTGAGGTCAAGAGGCTTAAGAGCTGGAGCAGAGAAGGCTGGGCAGCCAGGCCGAGCTGGCAGTCAGTAGCCAGGAACCCCAGCTGACTTCATGTCAAACTGGGGAAACTAAACATATAAATGCCTCATGTGGGTCGGGACTGTGTTGGGTGGCTTCTCCACTACAATTGATCTTGCCCATTGGTTTCAACGTCCCCACTTCACAGATGAGGAAAATGAGTCAATTGTCGAATGGGAACATTGAAGTTTAGAGAGGTCAAACTATTGGACAGTGGAGCCCAAATCTGAAGCAAGCCTGCAGGATCCAAACCCTCACCTCCGGAGCCTCTCTCCCTCTCCCTATGTCTCTGTCTCTTTCACACACGAAGGCGAAAGGGAATCTTTCTAATTTCAAATAATGACCCTCAATCATCCTTGCTCATGATCCTGAACCAACTTTAACCAAGAAAGGAAACGGCTTCACGGGCAAGCAGAGTTGAGCTCCTAAAACACCAAAGGGAACTGGGCAAGCACTTAGCCCTGAAATGGCAGTCCCTGGGTCCTCGCCCCATTTTGGTCCCTTGATTCCTCCCAGGAGGCGCCCCCGTTGGAACAGCTTAGGGTGGACAGCATCTGTCGTGCAGATCTTCCCCGCAGGACCCGGCCTCGGTGCCCCTCCCTCTGTGTGCTCGCCCAGACAGGGAAAACCCTGAGGGTGCCGTCCCCACCCTGGGCACCCCGCGTCCCCGGGCGCGCTCAGGACCGGGCAGCTCCGTGAGGAAGCCGGGCTGTTCACAGTTCCTGCAGCTTGCGTGGAAGACGTTCCGCGCCCCCATATGTCCCTAGCCGCAGCCTCCGGTATCCTCTCGGCCCCCTCACGGTCCAATTCGAGTCCCAAACTCGGGCCTGGAGAGCGGCGGGGCCGCGAGGCTGAGCGCGGGACAGAGCGCGCTCTCCAGCCGCGCCGGGGGTGCCCTGGTGGCGCGCGCGGGGCCGGGGCGCAGCGGGGAGCGAGGCGCGCGTCCCCACGCTCCGCCCGGCGCGCCGCCTGGGACCGCCGCTTGCCCCGACCGCCTCCTGCAGCTGGCGAGCCCCGGCGCGAGGCCTTGGCACGAGCTCCGCGCCCCGCGCAGGCCTGCCCTCACCGCCCGGCAGCCTTCCCCGACCCTGCCCCGGGCTTGCACCACCCCTTCCCGAAGATCGCTGGGGTGCGGCGGCCACTCGAGTTCCCCGAGTGCGAGATGCCCCCGCGCCGCTCCATCCCTGGGCCCGCGGCTCAGCGCAGCCCCGGGACACTCACCGCCCGCAGCCCGCCGGGCTGCACTTTTCACTCGGCTCCGGGCACCGACCCCCGAACTTGCTGCTCCACTCTGAGTCCCCTAAGCAGCTGGGTGTACAGATGTGTTGCAATGTCGCCTATCATCCTGGAGATGTGGGTGCCTGCGCCTCCGGCTCTCCGCCCGGCTCCGAGCGCGCTCGGTGCGGGGCTCCCGGGCTCCTCCGTTGCTAGCTGCCCAGCCAGGTGAATGTTTTGCGGAGCTTAAAGCTCAATGCCTCAATCCGGGTGGCTTTCAAAAGGGTGCATCTGGAGGTGTCGGAGCCTAATAATCTGAGCTTCCTTTCAATCGGTGCAATTTCATATCTCCAAGCTGGTTCATTCCTGTACCGGCTAATTCTGGTTTGGCAGGAAAAAAAAAAAAAAATCTGCAGTCACCTCACAGGCACACTCTTGTGGCCAGTTGAATTTTATTGCTTTGGCTGAGGTTCCCTGATGCTCTGCTCATTTGTAACCCAAGGAAAAGGCCATAAACCTGATCCAGAACGCAGAGGAAAAGAGAAGTATCTTCTGTTTCTCTAGGCTAGGACAGAAGTGATCAATCGGATCCTTACTTAAGTCTAGGGCACAAAATATAGCAGTTTATACAGCAAAGAGGAGAAGGACAGGACCTGCAATATTCTTAGCCCCAAAGGACTGAAAAATCCCTTATCCTCTGCCTCACTCTGGGTGCCACCTCTTTCCATTTTTCTGCAGTGTCTATTACCTGCATTCATAGGGCACCAGACACACACACACACACAATTCATCACACTATTCCCAACAGGGCAGCCCACACAGTGGCTGGCCCTTGGAAAGCGCTCACCTGTAATCTCAGCAGCTCCAGAGGCTGAAGCAGGAAGGTGGAAAGATCAAAGCCAGCCTCAGCAATTTAGGGAGATGGTGTCTCAAAATAAAAAAAAAATTAATCAGTCTCAGAAATAGCAAGGCACTAAGCATCTCAGGGAGATCCTGTCTCTTAAGTAAAAAGCACAAAATATGGCTGGGGATGTGGGTCAGCAGTGGTCATGTGCCCCTGAGTTCACTCCTCAGTACCGAAAAATAAATAAATAAATAAATAAATAAATAAAAATTAATAGAACTTTGGGGACGTGGCTCAGTGGTCAAGTGCCCCTGGGTTCAAGCCCTGGTACAAAAAAAGAAAATAAAAGTTTTCAACATTTGTTAAGTGAATATGTGAATAAATGAAGCCAGTGCTCTTCTGTCTCACTTGAACAATGCTGCAGCTTTCTGTGGTCATTGCTATAAAATTACTACAAACTCAGTGGCTGAAAACAACAGCTTCATTATTTCATAGTTCTGGAGGCCAGAACTGGACCGGGCTCACTGGGCTAAAAATGACAGTATTGACAACTGAAGGGCTGTGTCCTTTCTGGAAGCTCCAGCAGAGAGCCACCTTCTGGAGGCAGCCCACGTTCCCTGGCTCCTCCCCAGTTCCTCAAGCTCAAACTCAGCAGTATAGCAGCATTCCCGGTCTGCCTCCATCCTCAGACCATCCTCTGCTCCTCTATACTGCCTCCCTCTTCTACTTTAAAGGACCCTTGGGATATGTGGGGCCCATCTGGATATCACAGACACCCTCCCTCCTTTAAGATCAGCTGACTAGCAAGCTCAATTCCGTGTGCCGCTCTTTGCCATGTAAGGTAACATATTGTCAGGTTCTAGGGATTGGGATGTAGACATCTTTGGGAGACCATTATTCTGCCTAGCACAGATTTCCTTCTGTCTTACATCCTTTCCTTACTTTCTTGAGGAAAAAAAAAAAAAGCCACATGGATTTTTTACATTGTTTCTTACACCCATTCTTAGTTCCAAAATCATTGAGATAATTGTGAGAAATTGTGCCTAAATGAGGACATTTTGGTGAGGCACTGGAATGAGGTGGTCTAAATCTTTTACTTTTGCTCTTGAGAACGGGAGCAAATGGATGGAGAATACTCGTGGGCTGTCCTCACGTAGCACTTGTTTCAACAAGGCTTTTGACAGAGAGTTAGGATTGGGGTTCCTGGTAAGTACCTCAAGTACAGATGACCTATCTTGTTAGCAAAGAGGTCTGTAGGATTTTTAAGTCTGTTTTTATCTGTCTCTGAAAACTTGCAGATTTATTGAGGTATGATTGGTATAGAATGAACTGCACATATATAAGGGAATAATTTTATACTCCCGGGTTTTAGCATAAGCCTATGGAACCATAACCTAAATCAAAGAACTCTAGAACTTTCCTAATGCCCCTTTGTAATGTGATTCTCAGTATCCCCAGGCAGCCTCTCATCAGCTCTCTGAGAAGCTTCTACCCTGGACTGTGGATGTTGTCCATCTCGAAACCCCATGGAAGGCCTTTCCGAGAAATTTTGTCTTCACAGATTAGTGTGCTCCTACCCGCCTGGGGGTCTCTTCTTGGCACAGGTAGGTTAAGAGCAGCTTTGTGACTTCCCTGTCACCCCTGAAAGGGATCTACCTGGGATTTCTGGGTTAAAATGTCTGTGCTGAATGGATAGAAAACCTCATGTATCAGAAGATAAGAGACAGGCACAGAATCTCCACGTGTCTGAAGGGCAGGACGCTGGAGGCATCTCCTGATTTTAGGCATAGAACCTACTGTCCCACAATCAATCTCACCTCTAACTGAACCCTGCCCATTAGGAAGGTGAAATGATTGGGGTGCTGCCTCTCATAGCCGTCCTCTAAGTTCCAGTCGTGCACTCAACTGATTTGACCATTTCCTGTTTGGAGTTGGTGTGGAACTAAGAATTTGGTCATCTGTGCTTAATTTTGCTGGTTGAGTGGCATGGTTTGGACCTGGAGTGTCTGATTTGAGGACATCACTAACACATAGCATGGAAGATTTTAGAAAAATGCCCTGAAGTGTCACTTTTACTAGCCAGTCCAGATGTGCAGATTGCCTGAAACCTGCATGGTTCTCCAGGGACAGAACTGTTGGTCTCTCAGGCAGAAAGCAGCTTCTTCCCGGCTCTCTGCCCCACTCCTCAGGGTTTAATGGAGGAAGACCAAGGATTGTACTGGGAATGCCTGTACTGACCTGTATCTGTGCTCAGAATCCCAGACAAGCCACATGGCAAGGCCTGCAAAGCTTCAGGAAGGAGGAAGGAAATGCTTTGTCCCACACAGGACCACAAATGCAACCCTGCACTTCTTGGCTGTAAGGTCAGTCTGTGCCCACCCATCATCTACCACGGAATGGATCCTTTCCCCCTTAAGTGAGGGTGCTTTCACCAGGTGGGACCCTGGTTTCATCGTCTCAGAAGTTATCTTGCAGCTTTTCCTGCTATTGTCAGACATCAGCAAGGCTCAGTGGGGACACAAGCAGGCTGGCATCTTGTGACAACTGCCACACAGGATGACATTGGTCATGGCTTCCAAGAGTTCCACAAATGTGTTTTCAATTTTTAACAAGGGGTTCATTTTTCAAGCTTGATCCCTGAACTGCATGTGCTCATTGTTACTTATCAGCTGTTCATTTATTCTTTCATAAAAAAAAAAATACTAACTCAGTGTCTATTAGGGGCTTTTTTGAGGCACTGGGAACATGGAAATGATTAAAGTCAACAAAAATGCTTTCCCTCATTAAGCCTATTGTTCCAGTGAGTAAAAGAGAAATAATAGGAAAGTTATATACGCGGCGTGCGCATGCGTGTGTTTTGCAGGTTAGATGGTAATGGGTGCCAGGGAGGAAAAAATCAGCCAGGATGGGGAATTTGAAGGACTGAGGTGGTGAGAAGTTTTAGGTGGGAGGGAAAGGTTCAGCAAGAATGTGAAGTCTGTAGGAATGGGTCATGTGAATATCAGGAAGCAGGAAGGAAATGCAGAGGAAGCCCCACATGCCAGCCTGGAGGCACAGGAAGTACCTAGGGGGTCCCCCCAAAGCCTTGGAAATCACAGAAGGAAAATTGACATTGATTCAGTGATGGGAAGCCGTTGGAGAATGTTGAGCAGAATGGTGCTATGAGCAGATTGATGTCTGCCAAGATCCCACGAGCAAAGAAATAGATTGAGAAGAGACTGTGGGGGAGCAGGGGCAGCGGCAGAAAACCAGTAAGGAGACGATGACACCATCTGAGTGTGAAACAATGGTTACTTGGAACATAATGGTGGACAGGGATTGAATTCTGAATATCCTTTGATGGCAGAGCCCAAGGACCTTTCTCACAAAATGAGTGTGAGGTAAGAGAGAAAGAGGAATCAAGGATGACTCCAAGGTCCCACCCCAAGTGACTGGAAGAGTTGAGCCACCATTAGCCAAGAAGGGAAGACTTCAGGAGGAGTCTTCAGGTTTGGGGGAGATATTAGGAGCTCAGATTTGGACTGGTTCATATTTTGCTTTAATGAGGCTTACATAATCAGCCAATGGTGAAATATTATATAGCAATCGAAAGGACCAGCCACTTCAACTCATGATAATATTTTTTGATCTTGGCAGTCAATTATTATGTTGAAAAAAAACACTTTTTATATAAAGTTTAAGAGATTTACACCAATTACTTTTAGATGCAATGAAACTATATAAAGTTCCCAACTATATAAAGCCGGGGATGATGAACTTGAGATATAAGTGATGGCTAATCAGGTTGATGGGCACAGGGAAATGGGATGGGATTGCTAGATGTGCTTTACTGTCATGCTCCTAGCTTTTATCTGGGTGTTGGGTTCATGGACACATACATCATTATTAAAAACAACTATGATCAGTGGTACTGATTCCAGGAATGCATGGTTAGATTGACATCTGAAAACCAGTTAATGTAATATATTGTGTCAAAAGAACAAAAACCATATGATCATCTTAATAGACACAGAAAAGCATTTGACAAAATCCAACACAATTTCATAATAGAAACACTCAACAGAGTAACAATATAAAGCATTTCCTCAATCTGATAAAGGGCTCACATCACACTCAAATGGTGAAAGAGAATCCTTCACCCAGAAGGCAGGAATATGAGGATGTTCATTCTTAACCACTTCCATTTGATGTTGTACAACAAGTTCTTCTGAACATTGCAGATAGGCAACAATTGATTAATTAAAAAGAAAGAAAGAGTAAAATTATCTCTATATATTCAAATAATGCAGTTATATAGAGAAAATTTTTTAAAAATCCACCAAAAATGTTAGAACTCCTCACTGAGTTCAATGAAGTTTCATCTACAAGATCAATGTTTGAAACCAATGCATTTCTGCATATTACAATAGCATTAAAATACTTTTAAAAATTGACAACAAAGTTAAAGGAAGTTGTACTCTGAAAAAAATCACAAAATATTATTGAAAGAAACTAAAGAAGACCTAAATGAATGCAAAAGCACCCCTTAGGTACTGGTGG